ATAACGACTATGTAATTCTACGTTGAGCTGTTAAGTGTCATTTCGCGCAAAAGCACACGCTTGCATAAATTTATCTCCGACAGACATTGAACCCCTTGCGAAAACGTTTTCAACAATATTCTATTCGTCGTTACTCATCAACTTCACACAAACCTTGAACAATGTGTGTACTTTTTAGATGGTGAATTTTTGAATTGCATAAGGTGACAACCGTCTACCATGTAGCTCAAGGGTAAGGGTTTGAAGTCCCAGCCCGAATAATCACGGTGCGACTCCTGACAGGGGCACAAAACGCACGCAATGCTGACGAGTCCCAAACAGGAAAAACCAGCTGTCCAGTGCTCTTTGTTGGTTATTACAAACATTTCCATCGCATTCAAACGGTGTGTGGTTCCCCAATGGTAAACTTATGTAAGCTCGGATTGCCGCATCCGGTTTTTCTGTTATCTCATGTCTATTAAGATTTCTGGTGGAGAAAACATACGTCAGAGACAATTTTTTACGAATTCAGAGGTAAATAATATCAACCGTCATATTATCTCGCTACTTCCCTCTCTTGGAGTTACAACGCTCAACATCATTTTGAGTGTGACTCTATGTGCTGGGTGAATGGTTCTGGTTTACATTGGGTTGAAAATATCTTCGGGAAAATAATTTGTATCGTGCCATTTGACTTGACTTGAACAGTGATCAGATCACGACTACATACCCGGTTAATTGTTTCAAACTAATGCAGACAACAGTTTGGTGCCAGAATTCGTTATTACGAACTTTTGTTTTGAAATATTCTCTGAGGAAACGATGTTTGATGAGACAATTGGGAATGAGAAATCACTGATTGATAACACGCAATGTAAACGAATATATACTTTAGGTGAGTTCTTTTTCAAGCCTCCTCAATGACATTTATATGAAAAAAAATTTAAGTGGGATAAAACGGACAGGTGAATGAGTTATGTGTGTCCTGCCGAGACAGAGAAATGCAGTGTTTGAATTACGCACCCAAAATGTTACGCGATGGGCAAGAAAACAAGCGTTTTCACTTCCCTTGACCAAGGGAATTTAGGAGCTTAGAGTACTTTTCGTGGAGCACACATTTTGATCATAATTAGGCGAATGCTAATCGCCTCTGGGATCCCTAAATTCCAAAACCCTATTTCTCTCGAGGGGCGTGATGAAACTTGATAAATTATTGTGAATCCTGAGCGCGAGTCAGCCTACTCTCCCAACTCCAGAAAATGAGCTACGACTGGGCTTGGCACAGCTCACTCCCACCATGTGTGAGCCGGTATTGATTGTGTTCTTTGATACTTTAAGATAACAGCCTTGCCATTAGACATATATAAGTCGCATCACAAGTATATTTACCTTGACAGACAATCATCGCTGAAGTCAACGTAGGTATCTTATCTTTCTGGTGGCGTCGCATCTTTGGTGACGTAAAGAAAACACAACTAAGCTCCGTGGTATTTAAGATGCATTTTGCAGCCGCGGATAAAACGTTATTGACGCCGTCAGCAGTGATACATCCGTTGGAGTGAAAATCGCTTGTGCTCATTCCTATGACGCAACAGAGCAGATTTCAGTTACGCAATCCAAACAGCATATCAATTTGAGTTCTCTCGGTCTCAGTAGCATACATGTGGTTCATCCACTCATCATTTGGCCCTACCGAAATTATTTCAGCTCAATGTAATTGTGGAGGCTTGAAAATTAATTCACCAAAATTTGTGTGTTCTTAATCGTGAATACTTTAGGCATCATTCTAATCCATAAATCTCAAGTTTTCTTTGTTGTACTGTAGAGTGGATCCGTGATCGAGACTGACCGAAAAATGGGTCAGGCTATAATGATTTTTCCGCGGTTCGTTTGAGGACCATCCAATTCAAAACTTGCCAAAAGGGGTACCTAGGTAAAATTCTGTGGTTATACACTGATGGGATTCAGGAACTGCGCAGTACCTGCTAGCTTTTCAGCTGGCGATTCGTTTACCCCATAAAGTAGAAATCATTTTTATTCCTTCTGTAGTTGTTGAATTTACAACCTCGATACTTTCTTTTATTTTTTTATTCAAGAGTTCCGTGCGCTTTGCTTCATGACTCTTTAAAGCATCGCATCATAGATCTTGGCTGTTCTGTTCCCGACTTGATGACGATTTGATGAAGCCGGTAAATTAGCTACCAAGAATCATTGTGGAAAATGGCCGTTTTAAGATGGAGTTCATTTTGTGAACGGCTAACCTAATATCTGCCATTTTTTGAAGCAAACAATCAAGTTATTTTTTCAACAATATTCCGCCATTTGTTCTTTCAATTTAAACCATAAATGTTAGAGTTATTGTTCAGTTTGAACAAAAAGATATTTTCCAATTCATTTCGCACACACTCGGGGAAAACCTGTTTTTTCCACTTTCCAGGTCACACAGGGTTCACTTGGTTTGGAAAGCGAGCGATACACAAATCAGTCCAGTCATCCACACGACAAGGTGAGATAATCCATTCGCATTTATTTATTTGGGTTTGTTTACCATACTGTGGTTAGACGATCAGCATCCATTGTGTAAGCAAACAGCTGGCTAACAAGGATGATCCATGTAATTTGTGAAGATGAAATAGTGCCACAATTGGTCAGTGAGTTAGTTGCTTTGATTGGGCAGGGCATGCAAAAGTTTGGATGTGGGCGTCTAGAAAATTTTCATATTATTCTAGGATTTGTTTCGGTACCATCGGGAAAATGCATAGATTTTCCATGATTTACATTGCTCGTCTATGTAATGTAAAAAGATGTTCAATTAACCTGATTCCAAGAAGACGTTTGATTGGCCTACTTACAAGGATGTCATCATTTTTGCAAGGTAAATCTTTCTGTCAGGTTGTATCCTTGTACCTATGCTGTTCTATTATAAACTCCAAATTGCAGTGATTTATTTCCTGTTAATCACATCGTCTCACTGAAAACATAACTAATTTACTCCCATAATGTAAACGGAAGGGAGCTTGGATTTTGTCAATAAACTGATCGCATTAGTAGAAATAACAATGAAGCGAATGGAATAGCCCAAGCTAATCGAACTGCAGTATTTCATCCTCATACCTGAAGTCTATTGTGTTGGACGTGGCATTAGATGAAAGATTTCTTTTTATATAGCACATTTAACGTTGTTTAATTATTTTGCATTGAAATTGATGTTCACAGAGATTTGTGAACTAGAATGTCGACCACATCATTTGTTAATTGACGTGCTGATAGCTTATTTTTGTACTAACGTATTTAGTCTGTTGATTGGTGCAGTCTGTTTTGAGGCGGTTTAAGCAAAACGTTATGAGTTCAATACCGTTCTGTTTGTGATTCTAGTTCAAGACGATAACATAAATTTGTCCCATTAGATCTCTGACGAACATGTCGAATAGAATAGAGTTTAGGGAACAAGACTTGTTTTCAGTGATTCGTCTTCTTTGACTAATACATCACAATTTATATAACTGGGTTAAAGTACGGCAGGGCGGAGATAATACTTACAGAAAAATGCTAACAACATGTTATTAAACTCGAAGAAATATGGATAATGTTTACTGTCTTAGTTGTTCATTCGGTGGATTCCGGTGAATTCTTAGGAAAACCTGTCAGGGCAGTCAGCTTACATGCTAATTGGTGGATGCCGCGTGCCTCTGAAAGTTGGTTGGGTAATTGAAATGTGAAATGATCAGTGCTACCGGTGTGGCCTCCTAGCTCAGCTATTAGGGCTTCCGCGTGCAAAGCGTAGGCGGCGTCCATGTGTAGGTTCGAATCCCACCGAGGCTCCTGAACGTTCCGAAATCGCCATAAAATGTGTGAACAGACTGCGCTCGTAATTGACTTTAACACTTCAGTATGCAACCAAGCCGAATGATGGTCACTAGCTGTCTGAGTCAAGCGTCAGCTCTTGCGACCGCTATACGTGGTTCCACAGTAACAAGTGAATGAGTAAACGCAGAATGAGATCCCTGAAACAGAAATTCTTTCTTTGAGTTGCAGCTTGATGAATGCGCATGTGACACGCAATTTCGATTCATGGAAAGTTTGACCGATCGCTGTTGTCCATGTTCGAGTAACTATTTCTATCATAGTGTCACCTGCAAATGGCAGTCTTATGTACATTGGTTTCTCTTCCACTTCAATAATTATCCCCTGGTTGGGCTGTCGTTTTAACATGCTGCCCACAAATTGATCCGGGTAACCATTTTGTTGGAGGAATTCTAATTCGTTCTAACTGTATTGGCCGAGCACATACCTTTTGTATAACTTTCATTTTTCGATGGAAGCTTTGAGGGCGTTGTTTCCTAGCATTGCCACAAAGACGTCCGCAAACAACCGATCTAATGCGGAGCCCATTGCAACGCCATCCTTTTGTCGATAAATAGCCTCGTTGAATTGGAATTGCACATTACTTGTGCAAAAATAAAGTAAAGGCTATAAGTCCTCAATCGGGATACCGATATTAGTATCATTCATTTGGATATAGTTCGCTAAGTAATCGATGGTCTATTTGATAGGAGCATAAGTGAATGGCTAAGTTACATTGGTGTATGGAACAAGTACGCGGTCGGGTTAGTACATTCATTTTCAAAGTTTCGTGCCTCTCGACGGAAAGCGAAACTTCATTCAATGTCTCACTAACAGTTTGTGATCCCTCAACCGAGCAGCCCGACGCTTTCAATTAGTCAACAGTGATGATCTTTTTAGACCGCACCGACGGATTTTTCACACATTCCCTGACACGATTTTCTTCCAATATTAACTGTATTGTGTCCACTGTGCATGTATTCTTTCTTTGGTTCAAACATGTGAGGTCTCATAGTTCTCAACCCAAAACACAGAGAATAAAATTTGACGTTTATAAACTTGGTATTGTGATAATTGGTCTATATTTCGTTTAGACCTAGCACACTGGGATCGGTTTATCATTCTGGCTTTAACTTTTGCACAAAATCTTCCAGATCGTTGAATCCTATCGCAAATTCATGCGGGAATACAGTAAGTTGCTCGGGGTGCCGGAGGATAAACTCGCCTCGTTGGATGCAGTGTATCAGTTTGAACACAGCCTTGCACTGGTAAGTAATTCATACAACGATAGCAAGGCGGCCAGTTCTTTGTTTATTTGGAGGATAGACAATCAAAATTATGCTTAAAGAATTATATAAATAAATTTGTTGGTCTCGGTAACAATCATTCAAATCCTACACTTGTTCTTGGTATCAGTCCTTGTCGAGGTGTTGGTTTTGGTGATGATGGTGTAAACTGTTTGTGCTCGACACGCTTTTACCACCCCCTGGAATAACATAAATCACATTATGAAGTCATTATTAGTAGTTTATTTTTATTGTTATGAACTCTTACATTCATATTTCCGTCCGGTGTTCAACGTTTCCTATACGGTATAAAGCTTACTGCAGTTATTGGTCTAACATCAATTACTGAGGAATAGAGAACACCCTTAAGGATCGGTATCTCCCAGTTGATATAAGTTCAACAATATGTCCCTTTCATCCGACACCTCCTATTGTTCCGTTTGAACAACAGCTCAATAAACCTCGTGCTGATCTGGACCCGGAGATAGAATACGAGGTGACCACTGTGAATGAGCTGGACAAATACTGCCCCGTGGTAAGTCCACAGCATTTGCCCCCTTTCTGTTCGGCATTGTATTCTGGTTTCCGTTTGATATTGTCACCGAAATCCTCATTAAAATCCGAGTGTCTATATGGATTATCTGGTCAAGTAAAGAAATGAACTGATGTAATGCGCTTGGTCGAGTCTCATTAGCCGGCTTTGAACTTTTCAGCCCACATTGTGTTTTATGTTTTCCCTCTTTCACAGCTGCAATGGAAACGGCTCATAAACGAACTTTTTAAACCTCTGAAATTTACTGTTTCTGATGATCAACCAGTGGCGCTTACGGACAAGACACAATTGCAAGCCAGATGTGACCTTTATGCCACATACATGAAAACCACAAATGGGATTCAGTACGTTCCTTCGAATGAGTCTGTTAACAGAAGCGTTATTTCATTACAGTCCACTTTTGATATAATTTCTCACATACTGGCCATATTATCTTGAATGAATGCAAACATTTACCAGATGCATCCCCTTTACTATCATTTGATTTTGTTTAGAATACTGCATAACCAAGCCGTTTGGACCTTTATCTGGAACACTGTAAAACAAATGCCGGAGGTTGTTCAGGTCACATTGAAAGAATTCAATAAATTATCCCGTGGTAAGCTTTTTGTTAATTTGGGATATGTGTATCTGCTGAGTGCTTGACATATGATAATAATATATTCCTGTACATCAAGCATCGAAGGTAACTATCCTGATATCACCAAAAACGGTTGCCGAGGAGCAGATCATGCAGTAAAACGATAATCTACTTTGTTTCACATTGCAAAAATCAATCCTTCAATGGGAACCTTCTTGACAGACAATGAAAGAGCCCATGTCGAGTTCAAAGTACACTATAAACCTTAGGCATTTTCCACCCTTGCTCGAGGTACTGAACATTGTTCCATTTGATGACTAATTTCTCAGAATACGGAACGAAGATCACCCTTTGAAAAACCAGAAAGCACGTTGTTAGTGATGTGTTCTCCAAGTTCGAAGTAATGTTCGCAGACCTTTCGTAGCCAGGCTAGGCAACATCATCAGTGCAACTTTGAGCTAGCATCGATCCTCAGTATAACCGCGCTTATATAGTTTTGTTTGAGGGTTTTGATTGACCATACACATCCCTTTAATCCTATCGGTCACTTGTGAACATTTGTGTCGTTGTCATGGTGACGCCCTCTCTTTCCTCACTGGCTTTCTTTGACCAACCGTAAACCGGTTTGAACCGGTTTCAAACTGGTTAAAACTGGTTCTGGGTCGATTTTAGCTGGGACAGTTTCAGGTCACCAGTGGTTCCTTAGGTAATGATAGATGGGTTCCAGTTATACATATTTGTTGTTTGAGTGCCATGCTTCGATGAGGACAAAGACCGGTGCTTCCCCGATGTTACACTACTGATGTTGCCTAGCCTGGCTACGAAACGTCTGAGAACAACACTTCCAGCTAGGAGAACGCCAACAAAAACATCCACATCCCGAGCTACAATCGTTCCACATTAGTTCCAGCTGGAAATCACTGCATGAGCCATGGCAACCTTATTCAGCTCTGCCAGCAGTGTGAATCAAATCATGGACTAAATCAGGAAACTTAAAACCGAGTGTGATATCCGTTCGATCATCGGGTAGGTACTCCAACTGTTCAGATTTGTAAGCCTTTTGCAAGCATCTTACCTTTCTCATTTCATTTCCGGCCTCGAGGGTTTTGATTCCACCGAAAATATCCCAAAAATCAATACTGGCTAAACAATGCTCAATAAAACACAAAAGGTTCCAGTCATTTTGCAGTGCTTCTTCCTTTTCCAGCTTCCGGTTTATTTACACTGTCTTATTCTTAACTCCCATAAGTACACCACCTAAATCTTCAGTTCTACCAAAAACCGTCCGCCGATTTGAGCGGGTTGAATAACATTTAATAGTCTCAGTTAAATAGCACTTGGTTAAGCAAATCGTGGTTATACAGAAAACCTTTTCAAATTGGAAACAATACTGCGCAATGTACTACCGCTGTTCAAATCAAGCCTTTTTATGGTTATGGTCTCCGTTACATTATATTTTCATCTTTGCATGTGCCTAGTAAATCGATCAAAAGAGGGTTTTTCTTGGGTACTAGTGGTCTGATACAAATGCACAGTCATCTATCAGTTGGAAATCACAAGGGCGGATTGTCACTGACCCACTGTGCTCTGTTAACAAGCGTAGCTACCCTGAGTTTAAGGCAAACACCTTTTTCCATTGATTTCCATCATGTTTGCTCACTACAGCTCATGGATCGGGATGAAAAATGCACTAAAACAAAAAATAATATACACTTGCGTTGATCACTGTTGAAAATGGAAAATGAGAAAAATATTCTGTCATATTGTACTTGAAGTTAAAGATAAATCTCACTTCACAGTTCGACTCGGGGATGTTGTGTAACGCGCACTTAATTTTCCGACACTCTGCAAAGCTGCTGGACAGTGTGAGACAACCGAACAGTCATGAGCCCTATGCGATCAGGATTAAGCACCTCCTTGTGGATCACACGATTGAATAGTTAAACCTCATTGAATAATAACTGGGAGTACTCGTCACAACGATCTTGCTGAGAACGCAACAAACTGAGATCATATTCATACTGACTTATCAATGCATTTGCTCCTGGTTAATCAATCAATTCAAAATAATTCGTTTTTTTGTTAAACAGATTTGTAACTAGCACTAACATTTGTCGTATTTTTTCCGCTAGCACCCGCGTGCTTGACGCTGAAAAATCAATGATGTTCATGTGATCGATGAGACAGGCATGAATGTATCAATACGGAACTTTCGATCGCTTTTAAAATGAAATATCACTTGGGCGTAACTGATCATGCCTATGCAAATAGTCTGTTTAGCTGATGCCTATTTCATGTTAAAAACGTTCATCCCAAACTAACTGCTGCAAGGTGGCGGTTTTTGAACCAGTGCAACGTTACATAAGAGTAATTCATTCAGTTTTTGAGAAGTAACATTGGTTGTTCGTTTATTTGTAAACGTGTTTTCTTCAAACAGTTTTCAACTGTCCCTGATCGAGGAAACGCTTCAGATGCGACTCTCAGACGTTCTATGTTTGTTAGAAATCCTCTCCCGTACATATCTACTAAATCCACTGGAATTCAAACTCGGGTATGGCACTGAACGCTTGGACTATGTTAGTTATCCCTACTAAGTTGCCACGCGATCCTACTACATGACAAATTGGCGACTCATCACGGAAAGTCCCGGAACATACATGCCAGCAATCGACTACTTGATGTAAGATTGTTTTCTAGCAGGTTCTTATTATACTTCAAAGGCATTTGATGTTAATGTCCCAATATTGGTTTAAATAGTTTATATCAATTCAATGATACCGTACATATGACTTTCTTAACCGGAAAGGGCATCACATAAACAGTGGTCAGATTATGAATCCATGTGATGCGGAAATATCTTCTTGGGAACATTATGATAGCAAGCTTTGACGTTGTCAAAGATGAATTAGCAATAACCAATCAGATGCAACCAGTTACTCAGAACATGGGATAAATAAAAAGGGTGAGAAATGCAATCTGCAAAACCGATTATCAAGTTCAAGTTATCAGCGATTGTGATGTACATCTTTTCTAACATAAAATCCAAATTCCGTATTGATCAGTGACGTTATTTTCCATTTTATAACAGGCAGTTAACCAGATTATTGACGTTACGTGCGCACGCCAATGTATTGATTTTACAGGTGAATCTACAGAGCCACCACGGTGGAAATTTTGCGCCAATGGAGTTTTGGAAAATTTCGCGCCGGTCATATCGCGTTTTTTCATTCACGATCGATTTACTTCGGAGACTAGGATGATGGTAATATTTATTCTTTCGCCCATTCAATAACTATTGATTTTGACATGCTGTCTTTTTAAAATATTATCATAGAAGGATTTCATTCACGTATGTTTGGGTGTATCAGTATAATATTCTTGGGTTCCTGTTTTACCTTTATTGATAGCGTGCCCAATGATTGATACGCGATACCTAGTGGTACTTGGACGAGACTCAGATTGGAAAATCTATACTCGCTTCTATTTGATATTCTGTAACTTCTCATCTGAAGCACTACTCAAAACTGAACTCAATCTCTTGAATGCGATAAACGGCACTGGTTGTAGCAGGGGACCTGCATGCAGTTATTCATTGAGTAGTGATACTTTTCAATCGATATACTAGTACGTTTAAATGTTAAACGGTATTCGAAATGTGAATCATTCACTGATTCTTTGTTTTCCCTTCTGATAAATGTTGTTCATGTCCGATGTCGAATGATTTGTTCCATCCGAAACAACACAAAGGAAAGGTAAACGTGTTGTCAATAAACTTATTCTCATTTCACACAAATCCCCTTCTACAGGTGTTGATCTAATTCGTGCAACGTCACTCTCATTTTGGAAATACATTTCAGTCTTCAATATCATGTGTACATTGATGGCTATAGGTAAAGTGTATTAATTCCTGATTTTGTCTCCCACATCTATGATCTCAGTTCTCTCCCATCACCGTTTGAATTTGCGTGACCTTGAGTGTTGCGATAACATTTTGTAGTAGTTTCAAAGTTATATCTCAGACTTCGAAAATATTTTATTCAAAGTAACATAGGAATTCCAGTGTGAGTTTGTTATTTCACAACTGATGCGCCAGCAACCGTCGTCAAAATCGCGAAATCGTACATTTTCATGGCATGTGGTTAATAGAAGCAAAGATATCAAATATTTGTCTCTGATATGTGGCAACGTCATGTCCCATCCCGTGAATAAGACTGGAAAAACGAAGCATCGAGAGGAACAAATGTGATGAAAATCAGAATGCTGCACGAGTTTGGTCAATACCGGTATGTTATAGAAACTTCCCTGGCGCAGTTCCCTTTGCTACCGTCCACCGGGACCTTAAGTTCTACCATTATTTCCAGAAGTGTTTTCTTTCATCCTGTTTTGTGTGTACAACCTTCATCAGACTGATCGGTTTAGCTCGGTTTTTTAATAAGACAGCAGATTTCATCAAATAATCGTTCATGAACGTGCGATGTGCAGTATAGTCTACGGGACTCTAGAGATGGGCGTATCCACAAGCAACCGAATGATCTGATCTTCTTGGAGTTGAGTACCAAATGTACCGGAGAGTGAAAAAGCTTCAGTTGCAGTCCGCAAGGTGGAGTGAACTGTTTGAAGCACGTTATGTGCCGAACTCACTAGTTACCCCGGTAGTGTAGAGACAGAAAACACTTCATTTTCATCAAGCGCACCAATGAAACTTGGGATCTCTCCAGTGCTTTCATCATAAATGATGATTTGTGATGCATTTCGGTTATTGCATCAAAAGCATTCAAGAACATCGTCAAGCAATGAAATCAGTCGCACTAATTAATCACAATCCCGTGCCTTTTAGTATTTTTTGGAATGATTTCATTGTGCAACACGTATCTTTCGAATTGAATTAACTTCGAATTTGAATGACTTTGTTCTCCAAACCATTCTGAACTTTGGGGACGATTGATGCTTTCCCACCAAGAAAATGACACCATATAATTGGCTCATTTCAACGAAATATTTCCACTGTATTAGAAGACTACGAATCGAAAAGGTGATTATGTGCAATCCTGAAGAATCTTTCTTC